CTAGATCAAATAATTTGGGTAAACAGAAGCTTCTTGGATCATTTCCATGCAGCATGGTAGAATACAAAGAAAAGGCAGTAAACCAATGGAATGGGACAACTTGGTGCATCCAACTTGCCTTGGGACAACTCACCATGGGACAATTCAACGATTCAATTTAAGTATTTAAAATAAGTTTTAAAATATTTTATTTTTTGTGATTCACATTTCATTCTGTCTCTCCTTTTGCATCCTTTATTCCACAATTTCTTCAATATTAGTGTAATTCTTGCCCCGGGGAGAATTGCCCTGCAGTGAGTTGGCCATGCCCAGTTGGCCATGCCAAGTTTTCCTAGATCCATAAACCAGCCACACATGGATCTAAATAACTAAAAGCTAATAAAAAAAAATCTTCTTTCCTGTTTAAAGTGGCTTATTTTCAGTGTTCCTTTACAAGGCAATCAGCATTATGGTACAGGAGAAAAAGATGACAAATTAATTGTTATATCATATGGCAAGATGGCTAAGGACAGTTTATCTCTGCAATGACCTTTGAGGTAGACTGCCATAGAAATTCTGGGAAACAAAAGGCATATTTGTGAGATCATGTAATTAGCAACTTAAGTGTATACTATACTTATAACACTTACTCATTTATTGGGCAGTTAGTCTGTGGCACAAATATATGGCTTGGTGATTCCCCATCCTTCATCCCAGCCTCAACCAAATTTGTTATGAAGCAGAATGTGACCAGCAAACATCATTCAACAATATGTTCCTTCTTATTTAGTTAAGAGTTGGAGATATATGTGATCAAGAAGGACATACTGTTTAATCTTATAGACCTACTCTGTGATTTTGGTTTTTAGTCTTGACTTTCATATTATAAAGAATGAAGACATCGTTATTGTCACTATAGGATAGTCAAGTGGCAGTTTACAGGAAAAAACTGATCATTAGAATACATTCTGGCTTCTAATAGTCTTTATCACCATATACTTGTGAATGGAAGGGAACTGTTCTGTTTTGCTCATAAGGAGAAAAGAAGGAATACATAGAATTATTAGGAATACTTCTATTATTTCTATTAATCATTTGCATTTGGTAGACCATTTAAACTCCCTATCCTTATCCAAGCACACATAATCTCATACATGTACAGTTTGTACTAGATGGTACCAACTATACTAGGACTTGAGGAACTGTGAAATTAATTTTTGAGGTAATACACAGTTTTTGAGAATAGTATGTTCCTATGTGCCATGAGAGTAGAAGAATTTGTTCCTACTCTAGCTATTAAAATCTTGACTAAAAAGATCACTGAATTATTACCTCTTAAACAGAAGATAGCCAAGAAGAATTTAACAAGTTTTAGAATAGTTTTTCAAACCTACTGTCCCTTCAATAAATTATAGTTTACTATTATGTTAACAGACAAGAAACAAGACTGGTAACATTATTTTTACCACAAACCTATGCACTGAAAGACATTTACATCATTTGAATGAAAATTGAGGCTGCATCTTACTTTGAACACCCATACAACCATTAAACAAACAAAATATAATTCTGATGTTTATTGTCACCCGCAAACAACCATAAGAGAATGCAATGGCAATTTACAATTAAAGAAATATCTTTTATATTAAAAAGCTGTTTCAAAATTTTCAGAATTTTTTTTCTACAACATGGAACCAGACAGTTCAGAACTATATGCTACCTAGAAAAGTCTCTAGTTTCTCATTTAGTGCAAATATGATTCATAGTTAAGTCTTTGACCGACAGACCATAACATTTTAATTGGGGGTAGTAATTTCAATGACCCTTCGTTTCTCTATTTTAATTATACTATTACCTCAGACAGCAAGTTCCTGAGGTTGAAAAATATTCTGTTGGCAGCAAGACCAGGTGCACAAAGAAATTTGTGGCTGAATAATGGATTTAGACCAGCAAAATCTCTCTGGAAGGTGAGATTGTTGAGATAATCCACGTGACTCCAGACAGCAGCTCCTTGTGGGTAGATCACAGGGAACAGTTGTTTCATGGTCATCTTATAAATTGAGTGGCTGAGAGTTAAAGGATACCAAATTATCAAGCTCATAATTGTATGTAACATAGCCTTTTCAAGACATAAAGCCTGCTTGACCCTAATTTCTTAACCACTTTTTGGATTATTTTGTTTATTGTCCTGAAAATATTTGCTGTATTCATTGAGTGAGTTCGCCTTTTTATTGGAGAAAGATGTTTTAAATATGATTTTAAAGACTCTGGAAAAATATTGATTTTTTTTAATTAAATGGCAAAAAGATGTATAGAGTATGCTTTTGGAATGGTAACAAGGATTAAAAGTCCAGATAGACTTGGAATTACAATTCTGAATTAATTAAAAGAATTCATCTTGTCGGAATTGGCGATTGTTTGGGCTTTTTTAAAGAGGAAACATGATGATGAGACCTTGAAGGCTTGACATCAGAGGAAGCTAGAGGATAATACATTCATTTTGTTAACAAAGAAATAAATAATGGAGCAACAAGCTTTAATGCATGTTTTTGAATATTGGTCTTCAAAGTTTTTGATATAAGGGAACACAGGACAATGAAGTTAGACAAGAAGAATAAACTACAATGGACAAATATGAAATATTTAGAATGTGGACTTTACTGTGTCAAGCAGAAAAATATAAAAGATATACTGAATATGCAAATGAAATTGGATATTTCACTGCCAAAGGATATACATTTAAATCAGAAAAATAACTTTTTTCTTACTGGACTTACAAAAGAGACCACGGCTTTCTCTGATCTTAATAAAATGAGAAATCCAATCCCTGATGAGCTGGAAAAATGTAATAAATTGAGGGATACTAATGATTAAGTCCCTTCAGATGTTTTGTCAAGATACTACTTTTTAGACTAGTTTATTTCAAAATACCAAAGCAGGATTGAAAATAAAGCTGAATAAAATTACTAGTATTGCTCAATAGCCAAAATGGAAGATGTATTTGAAAATTTATTCCTCCTTAATTTCTGTTAGGGTTACCAGGAAAATATTCCAGATATTCCAAGAGTAATATCAGTACATATTTCTTGTAGATTTTAAATACTTATACCAGTAGTCTGCATCAATTTTGTTGTCATCAATCATCTATTGCTTGAGCTATAATCAATAGATCCATCCATCTATCTACATACCTATCTACCTACCTATCATCTATGATAGAAGATTAAATTTGAGGGGAGACATCTGACAATCAGATAAGATTTGTACGTGAGGTTTGAATCACAGATTATTGGAGCCCTACTCATATTAGCTCTCTTGGACTGGATAAAGTTTCAGAAGGCACTTGCATAAAGATGAATATCCACCTGCAAAGACAACAGGAGACAAACCAAGATAAAAGTAGCATTCGGGGGGGGTGGGGGAGTCAGTTTCTGAGGAATGCACCTTCAATAATATCTTCCTGTGCTACATATTTTTCCATTTTTCTAAATCCCAGGTAGAGTCACTTTCCTCCTAGTATATGGGTGAGCAACTATGGCAACTTTACAACCTGTGGATTTCAACTCCCAGAATTCTAGGTGCTGAAGTCCACAGGTTGTAAAGTTGCCATAGTTGCTCATCCTTGTCCTAGGGCAGGGGCGTCAAACTCGATTTCATTGAAGGCTGCATCAGGGTTGTGTTTGACCTCTGGGGCCAGGGTGGGTGTGGCCAGCTTGAAGTCACTCAGGTTCGGGGCGCCTGTGGTGGTCGGAGCACTCTGCCAGCAAAAATGGGCTTGTGAACTCCATTTTCATCCGTGACAACCTCCTGCAGCACCCTGCCAGTGAAAACCGACCTCAGAAGGGCCGCACACAGGCCTCTCAAGCTCCGTTTTTGCTGTCAGAGGCATGTGGACTGGTCCTTTGCTGTTTCCAGGGTGGCCCCGCAGGCCAGATCTAAGCACCCCAGGGGCAGGATCTGACCCATGGGCTGGAGTTTAATGTCCCTGTCCTAGGGTAATGGCACCAGGTGGGACTGCAACAAATAGGAATTTGCAATATTTTATTAAACATCTAGGTGTATCATTTGTCTTCTTCCTTCTAACGTCTTATCATTCTTCCCCAGTGGAGAAATCTTGCTAGATTAACGTTTTTTATCTGATTTATCAATAACTTCTTTCTTTTTAAACAAGACTAGGCTATTCCATACTTCTTTCCACACGGAGGCAGCTCAGAAACAATTGGAAAGTAATCCTCAGCAATCAAACTTAATGGCCTTAGAGGATCCTTAGAGGTCCTGATTAATTCTCTCTCCTCCAGAATTCTTTCCAATGGAATGTAGGTGCCCCAACAGGGATAATTCTAATAATTTCAAAAATCATTGACTCATGGCTCAGGGAGTGGTAGCTGCACTCCTAAAAATGCATCTTTGCTTTCACTTCTTCTCTCTTATTATGTATAAAGATACAGATCACCTGGTTAAAAAAACTAGAAGAGATGTAAGTTTACAGCAGGGGTAATCAAAATGGCAGGCCGCATGCATTACATGCAGGCCACGTCCACCCCGGCTCCACAAAGGAAAACACCTCGCAATACATCACGTGATACGGCCAGTTTGACACCCATGGTTTACAGAGTAGGATAAAAAACGGGAATGGCATCAAAGCTGATGCTACCAGGATATGGAGAAAAAGACAAAGGACACAGTGAAAGGACTGAAAGAAACACAGCAGCTAGCAAAAACTGCTACCCTGGTTAGGAGGTTTTGACTCACACTGATCTATCTATTCCACTGCACAGTCTTGACCTGAACTTATTGCCAGCCGCTTTTAATTCTTTACACTAGGAGTTCAAGTTCAAAAACTTCAAGGGCTGTTTTGTTTTCTGTCATCTGATCAAGGGAAAAAGCTAGACTGCATGGGAAATACAGGCAAAAGTATATTCTACACAGAACCCTAAGACAGGGGTGTCCAACCTTGGCAACTTTAAGACTTGTGGACTTCAACTCCCAGAATTCCTCAGCCAGCAAAGCCAGCAAAGTCATACAGAAGGCCGAGCAAACTCCCTCAATTTATATTTTAGATGGTTATGGAAGGGAGAACTTAATTCTTTTTTATTTGCTTGATTATCACCATTGGCAAAGAACACCGTATGGCTGGTTTTACCAATGGTAATTTTATGGTGGCACAGAAGCTTTGGAAAAGAGATTAAGAGTGTTCAAGAGATCTTCCAGCACAATATTTTAGGCTGCTTGTATATCTAGGTTTCTTCACAATGTTACAGGATTTGGACAAGGCACAAAGATTTCAGAAGTACCCCTTTGTTGCTGGTCCTAAACTCATCGTGCTTTTTCTTTCTTAAAACAGCAACAGTATTTGCATTGAATTCTGACTATTGAAAAGAGGATCATACTACATTTATCTAATGAGATCTGAATCCTTTCTGTTTATTTAATGCTCTCCCGCCACCAAAAACCAAAAACAATAAAGAGCCCCTGATTCCTCAGACAATCAGCCTGTCACCATGTGCTCTGAAATATGACCCCATGCCTCTTTTGGCACTACACTCAGCTATTTTATTCTGGTACAGAATCACAATTGTATAAAAATGATCTAGCAACTGGGACAAAACAGATCTGTCTGTTCACTAGGTACTCTTTCAAATATAAAAGTAGCAATTTCCATGCATTTTAGGAGATCCAATAGCATACTCTACTAATTTGCACCCTTCACAACCAATATATCATCTGTGTATTTTTGCATCTGTGTATATTCAGTATAGGAATTGTTAGTTTAGTGAAAGATCACCACATCAAGCTGATATGCACATACTCCTTCCATTATCTAATGGCTACTGTACCTCTCCCTCGATTTCATGTCAATGAGTAGCCTAACCGGGCCTTGCGGTAACTCATGCGCATGCGGAAGAAGGTGTACATGCCCAACAGGCAGACTGAAGAAAGCAAATACAAGAGAACACACAAGCTGACATCCAACCGGGAGAAACCCATTCCCAGGATATAGATCCACCGGTTTTTCCTCAAAGTATTCTCCTTTTCCACTTGGATGCCAGAGAACCGTTTGGCTCCCAAGTTCTTATGCCTCAGGGACTCTCTAATATAATCAAGTGAGTGTCGGCCCTCATTCTCCATCAGGAACAGCCGAGTGTCCCTTTTAGTCCGCCTCTCTCTGATGCTACTCTGTCTTGCCAGCTTCAAAGCTTTGCTCTTAAAATGCTGCTCACTAAATGTATCAAGATCAACAATATCCTCCACCATTTCTTTTGCCTTTGTGCTCATCTTGACAATGCTTGGTTTATGCAGCTCTGGAGAACCAGGTTTTCCCAAATCAAATTTCTTCTTTTCTACTTTCCCAGTCTCTAGCTGCTCTGTCTTCTTGTCTTCATCTGGCTCCTTTTGATTACCCTGGTCATTCTCTTCTCTTCTTCCTCCCTCTTCCAGCTTCCACTCAGCTTCATAATTTTGCTGAGCAACATTTCGACCACTTCTTGTTTGATGCTCCAGGGGAGAATCCATGTAAATATTTTTTTCAGAAAAATGCCATTTGAGAAACATCAAGACTCGATTCTCATCCCACATAAACTTGTTCCCATCCTGCAAAGAACTGTCAGTTGGGGTGTAATGGCATGAAGAACAGAGGCTTTTGGGAGGCCACTGGATCTTGGGAAACATGGGATCACCAGTTGCTGTACCTGAACAAAAAATTGAAAAAAATCTTACTATCATGCTATTCAAATAATATTCTCACATGCACCAACATTCACAAGCTACTTAAGTCTATAAGCAGCAACTGGTTTGACTTATGCCTAATTACTGCCTCCAGTACCTTATTGTTAAAAAGCCATAAAAATGCTTTGTTATGATGGACATTTATGAAGCCAGAAAACTTAACACATTATTCACTGTAGATTATACTAAAGTTTTGCTAGTATTAGGAAAATTTATATTGATTATTATATTGCAGCATACCATCATCATTGCCACCACTTGGAAATAATACTATTTTTTCACTTACAAAAGTAAAATTGCATCTTACAGATTAATCTGCTTTCCTTGCTCCCAGCTATTTTTTTTAAAGCACCATGTAGATTACCTAACACCTGACTTGCCTTTGCTAAAAGTGAACCATTACAGTAAGAACTTTAAGCAGTTAAAGTCCCAGCACTTCAGTCAAGATAAGCAGAGGTCACATTTGATAGAATATAACAAACCATTAAACTGTTTTATTTTGTTTTAGTGGCACATACTGTTCTCTTTTTGTATTTTTGTTTAATGATTTTATACACCCATTCAAAGTTGCTTTGTTTGAGTTTGATGGCCATATATATGTTTTGAATAAACAAAGGTAAATAAATAATTTTTTGCCTCCCTCAAATTTTTCAGAATAAGGCAGGCCAAGGATATCCAGTTTTTATCATTTCTTTCTAAGTGTGTGTGTATGTATGTATGTATGTGTATATATATAT